CATTAATTTTTGCCCACCACTCCCCCCCCAAACCCCCCCCTTTTCTAAAAACCACCTTCCCCCCCCCCCCCCCCCAACACAAAATTCCCTCTTTTAACTTTCCGGTATTCCCCCCCCCTCCGGCCCCCTTTTTTCCCCTTTTTCCCCCCCCAGTTTTTCCCCTCCTTTTCCTCCCGGGCCCCCCCCCCCCCCCCCCCCCCCCCCGTTTTCAACCCCCGTTGGGCTTCCCCCAACCCCCCCCCCCTCCGGAGGGCCCTTATTTTTCCCCTTTTTTCCCCCGGGGCCCCCCCCCCCTTTCCCTTTTCCCCCGGTTTGCCCCCGGGAACCATCCCTTGGGTGGGGATTTTTTTTTTTTTTTGGGGGGGGGGGGGGGGGGGGGGGTCGGGGGGAGAGGGGTTACTCATGTAAACGCATGTCGTTAGACCGTTAATCTCGTATCCCTACACATATCGGCGCAGGCTACTTTGCATCAGAAAGATGGCCGTCATCCTTCGTACTTTCGGGGGGGAGGGGGGAGACGTGTGGGGGTGAGAGGGATAGCCTAGGCAGTTCGTCGCCAACCCTGCCGCGGAACACATATATACATACACGCCCCTCGGACCACGATGCCGTGAGAACAGGAGAGAGAGCACAACACGAAAGGCGTACTTGCGGGGGGGGGCTACAGAGCATCGAAATGCGCTCATCGGCGACCACACCTATGCACATCGTGTTCTTGGTGAGAGGTACTCAGAACTAGCCGAGTCGAGCGTTTATCCACGAATGAACCCTGACTACTGCGAGACGAGTCGGTTTCCCAGGGGGTAATCACTTGGGAGTGCTCGCCAGATGCGAAGCTTTTCGCAACTCGAAACAGACTGCTGTACCAAATCTGGGGACTAATCGACGGGCTCTCGACTCTCAAAGGTAGCAAGCAGCCTCTGGACATCTAGGCTGTAGCTACATGCAGGCCGCCTGAATCAACATCGCGTGTCGAAAGTACTTGCCCGTTAGTGCCATACCTGAGACTAGAACTATCAGCACCCGATCACCCGAACACAAGACAAAATAGTACCGTCAGATCTGGTAAAAGGCAATGGAAAAGTGGCACATGAGGAACATCTACAAAAAAAAAATCCTCGTAAACCAAAAACAGAAAAAACAAGCAAAAAGAAAAACTTCGCGTCTTTGATCCAAAAAAAAAACTTGCCACGTTCTAGGGAAACGCCTTCGAAGAACGATCGGTCAACAACAAAAAAAAAAAGTATGGTCATCACGGCTGTCATCACGACTGCCGTCCTCCATGAAAACACAATCAATGCAACGCTGTATGCGGCATGAATACCTTGAAGAATGAGGCGTGCGTAAGGTCAGCGTCTTCATGCGCAACGTTGAGGTCCCCGGTGATTATCAGCTTCCCGCTGTACTTGTCCACAAACCCGCAGAGCTCGTCGTCCCACCGCCGCCTGCAAGAGGAGCGTTCGTCCGTCCATGCGTTCGTTCGTTCGTTCGTTCGTTCGTTCGTTCCGTTCCAAGAATAAGCGGGGGGGGCGAGGAGGAGAAACAGGGAGGGAGGGTCATGTCAAATTTGACAAAACTAAGGGGAGGGGATGCGTAAATACTTGCAGTGACGTGGGTAGGGAGGGGGGGGGAGGCCGGGCACAGGAATGAAGCTGACCGAAATAGTTACAGTGCAGACATGCATGCCTGTGTGATTAGCGGCCTTCGCGGCCCTGGAATTTTCGTCGGCGTTCTTGCAGCTGAAAATCACGGCACGCCGAACAGTTTCGCCCCCCAGGAGCGAGTGGGGGGGACGTGTGCTGTACGGGTGGGCGTATCGACAGAACTTCATCCCCGGTAAAAGCGCGGTATAGTGCTTAAAAACTATGTAGCTCGCGTTCATATACCAACCAATCAAAACGCCAACACCGACGATCGCCGCAAAATACCACAATGGTGGCACAAACAAACAAAAATAGAGACACGACGTTCAGTTCAACGGGACTGGCATGGGAGATCAATTGCATCTTAGCTCCGGAGAACCAAAACCGAACAAGCTGGTAGGTACTGCACGCTCTCCTCCGCAGAACGTACACTCTGTGCCATGCATGCTCAAACGCGGCAACAGACAAAAAAAGGGTACTTGAATGACACAACACAACTTGACCACTGCTGTGGTAACTATTACGTTACCTGCACGCCCCCCGCCTTCCCCTCCTGAGAACCAAGAGACCAACAGCATTCCTGCACTATGCTGCAGTGCTTGCGAAGGACGCCAAGAATACGATGGTCGAGTCCTAGTCTCAAAACTAGGAGTAGCACCAGCCGTGATGGTGATCGTGCACCTGCGCTGGAAGCTCTCCGCCTTGCTGCCGTTGTTGGGCACGTAGAGAGCGAGCACGGTCACGGACGGGTACTCGATGGCGATCACACGACCCTCGCGGTCGTGCTCCTTGAACAGCTTACCCTCTGGACCAACACGCAGAAACACAAAAAAAAAACATCAGTATTTCTACAAGTCAAAGGCGGTAGGTAGGGGCACACGTACAGCAGTACCAGCAGCAGCAACAGCAGCAACAGCAGCAACAGCAGCAGTGGCAGCGGCAGCAGCGAGTCCAGATCTGTTGATTGTGTTGCATGGTAGTAGCTACGCCATGCGAGCGACAAGGCTCAACGCAAAAGCACCGCACCAGAGGTGAAGCCGTAGAAGATGTCGGTAGCCGGGCACGTGTTCCTGCAACGACATACACAATACACATACAGCAGCAGCCGGGCACCACGGAGAAGGGGGGGGGGGGGGGGTGTTCTCATAGTCGTGTGCATGCCGTAGTCATTAGACCATTGACCTCGCATCCCTACAAAGCCAGGACGGAGCATGCCGGGTTCTCACCGGACCAGGCTCTTACATCACCAAGCGCGAAGCGCCGTGAGGTATTTGGCGAGTCGCATGAAGGGTGAGCTGCATCCTGCTAAGGGTGTTCGGCATCTTGTGCTTACTTCCTTGCGTACGGATGACAGCTACGTATGACTTAATTTATTTTCTGGTGCTTTCGCTTCCAGAGACAGTTGTAAGCACTGTGTAACTGCCTCGAGGGTGCTTGACCAATATTAACACAACGTGGTGCGATCATCCCCCGTTGCGCGGAGTGAGGGTTCTCCACCCCGCACAACATGATCTACTCGACCACCATTATGGTTAGAGCCAAAAAAAAAAACGACGTAAAAAACAAAAACGGTAACCTGGTTGCCGAGTTCACGAAGTGAATTGGCTTGTTTTACAACGTGGTTGCCAAGCGACGAAAACCCAATCCCGATGGCAAACACCGAGTGGAGGGCTTATTTTACAACGTCGTTGCCAAGCGACGAAAACCCAAACCCCGATGGCAAACAAGGCCGAGGGGGGGGGGGGGGGGGGGGGACCCCAAATCCGGGGGGCCGGAATCCTTTTAAAATTTTCCCCCCCCCCCCACAAAGCCCGGGAGGAAAACCC